TCTCGAAACCTACTCAAATCGAAACTAATATTCTCTGGATCACTTAATTTTGAGCTGCCTTGTGGCCGTATCTTATTTTATATCACTGATAATAACTGAGGTTTGCTTGAGCCTCGATGCAAAAATTAAGAGGCAAAGGAGAAATTTGACCTAGTTTTATTCCAATTATATAGGGAATTCGCTCAATATTCCTGAGCGTTGGATATAAAACAATCCTAATCAAATAAATTGGAGAAAATAATCGTAGTTAAGTCGGTTCTAAATAAATTTTTGGGTTTAACCAATGATAGCAGTTATATTAGTCATTATATACTCTGGCCTAACACGTCATGTAAGAGGAGAATATAGAGAGTAATGAGGATTTAAAGAGTAGATGGGCCCCAACGAACATCATAAAAAATGGACCAAGGCGCCACACTCAGATGGAAGCCAAGAGAGAGGGCCCATATAAGTATCGAGCCTAGGCATATCTACTAAGCCAAGCTAATTCAAGCCGGACAGCATAAAAATGCAATCATAGTTTGAAAAACGCCATTCAGCGCAAATTGGTAAAAATATAACAGGCAAACTTACCCTCCTTGAGTAGGGGCTGAATTTCGGATTGATAATCGGAGCCAATCCTCATTGCACCTCTGTCCTCTTGCAGGGTCTTTGCCGAAGGGTCATATATCAGCTTATAGAAGAACGCATCGTCACGCGCCAGATAATTTGTCAATGGCTCTGCTTCGTTATACAGAGTAACAGAGCATTTGCCTAGTGTGTAGAACATATGAGAATATGATAGTGAGGAGTACAGGTGAGAATAAGTGTGTATGCTGCAAGCAAGGAGATATAAGAGGAAGTAATGAAAGACAAAAATAGGCATTTACACTACAATAATTTTAATAGCGTCCTATCACCAAAGAGATGTATATTTCGCATTTCCATTCACGTTTTTGTCGAATATTCTTCGCCGATGGTGCAACTAGGCTGAAATAACGGCATTCAAATTAGTATTATGCTAAGCTGATCAGCTGCTCATTAGGACCAGTGATCCTGGCCAAGCATAAAAGCATTTTTGAATCAAACTTCGGAAATGACAAGCGGCGCAATAGTAGTATGGACACAACATTACAGATTTTCATCTATAATGAAAAAGTGAGATATAATGTACACAAAAGTTGCTTCTAAATTGCAAAATATGGATTATAATATCTTAATTTTGAATGCAACAATCCTTAGAACGTTGTCCCCAACTCTAAGGAATTCGTATTTTTTGTATGCGTAAGAACCATGAGCCTTAAAAAAATTCGCCAAGATTTTGATATAATTGCACATCTATGATCCTAAACTTAAAGGTGTAAAGTGTTTATAATTGTAATATCCCATGTGTGAGAACTGGAGACGACTTAATTAGCAGTGAGAATTTACACGAAATTATCTGGTAGAATCAACCCAAAAAGTCAACCTGCTTTGCAAGTTGGGAAGCAGCCTTCATATGCGAAATGCTGACATTAATTTAATAGCTTGCCTTAATCCATTGGAAATGGCTCGACTATTAACCAACAGCAAGTACAATGAAATTTAAATATTATCTCGGAACCACTATTGTATAGCAACTGTAAATCTATATTCTCCAAAGTAAGATTTCCATCTACAAGAAAATTGAGAATTTAAGGAAATGCAACAAGTTGCTCAGAACGCAAATTAAATAGGATGAGCGCTTTATCGATTTTTAAATCACTTATAAAGCCGGCTAGTCACACTGTAGAGTGGAGGAGGAAGCACTGAAAATACCAAATATATTTTTGAAAGGGCAGTTAAAATAGTAAATAAAATAAGTTTAGTGAAAGGGAACAGAGGAAAATTTGAAAATTCAAGAGCCTTGCTCATAAGTAATAATAAGACAAAGTTCATAAAAGACCAAGGTAAAATCCACTAGCTACACAATCTTCGCACGTTAATGAAGCTATAAGAGAAGAGTATAAATAGAGGATGTTCGTCGGAATAAAACTATAAATGAATTGAGAGAGGTGCTAGCACATCGCTTACGCACCGTGACGGCTTTCTAAGATTAAAATAAGCGAGATAATTGCTCATCCGCCGTATGGAGGCCTAGATTTGGTGTCAATTGAATGCATGACAAGGGTAAATATATTGTAAGTATGTACTAAGTGTAATTGTAATCAAGTGAGAAATTGTAATCGCTTTTAGCAAGACGAAAACTAACAAATATGCTTTAGTGTGGATTCAGTGGTATT